TGTGGTTATTATGAAAGCATTGAATTGAATTTCATGGTTCCAGGACATACCAAATTCAAATGTGATGGTAGTTTTGGTTTAATAAAAAAAACTCTATAGGAAAGAGTAGATTGTCTGGATCATGTAGTTGCAGTGATAAAAAAGTCTAGTCCAGTAGGATTGAATAAAGCTCAATGTTATGAAGGCGGAAAAGGTTTTCAATACTTAGATATTAAAGCAATTTTGGGAATTTATTTTAAGAAATTGCCAAGCATTCAGAAATATCAACATTTTCTTTTTGAAGCATCTAATCTTGATACAGTAAAAGTTCAAGAAGTTGCTAATGGACCTTTGGCTGAATTCAATTTATTGAAAACTAAGAAAGCAGACATTTTTGAAGAGATTAAATCTTTATCTATTTTAGTGTTAACACCACCTCCTTTAGACTACAAAAGACAAGAATACCTTTATCATAATATTCGCCCATTTGTAAAGGATGGGTTTAAAGACATCACTTGCCCAAGACCAATCTATACTGGCAATGAATAAAATAAAATCACCTCTATGACTTCATCACTCATTAATTTGTTCTTTACTGTCATTAAGTTTAATAAATTTAATCTTTCAATGAATATTCCACTTTTTAAAGTAAAAAGGTACTAAAATAATTTATATACTTAATATGCCCTCATGAAAAGGATATAAGTATATTAAAAGAGCAAATAAATTAAAAAAGAAAATCATGGTAAATGTAATAACAGAGGAACAAAGAATTATCAAATCAAATTGCTGATTTAGAAAAACAATTGGCTGATAAAGAACAAGAATTTAAACTAAGAATCTATAACACAGTTGAAAATGTTAAGGAAAATGAAATTGCTGGCACTTTAATGACCTTAAAACAACAACTTTGAGCTTAATATTTTACACTTCTCGGATTTAATTTGCCTTCATCTTTTCAATCTGATTTTTCTTCATTATCATCATATTATTTTTTGGGCCTTTCTATATAAAATATTTGGTGAAGTAATTACCTCTTCAGTTATATTTCAATTGGAAATTAAATGTTTGTGAACTCTATGAATATTATGAATTTAGCTTTATTAATATAATGAATTAATGATTTAAGGTGCTATTTACAGAAGAATTTGTTTTTAGAAGTTGCATGTATGGTTTTACACTTTAGCTGATCTATCATGTGCAAAAATTGTACTCCTTACACCTTGAGTGATTTTTTGAATGATCCTATGAATGCTGCTAATTGATGTTTTTCAGTAGCTCCAGTTGCAAGTCGATATCTTATAATTATAATATATATTAATAATAATATAGTTTATAATAAAACCAGATAATATAAAATTAGAGTTTTCTTACTCAATTTCTCCAATATTTTCAAACAAGTCTTCATCAGTGATTAATGATTTTCTTAAGTGATAACAAAAATCTGTCAATATATCTTGTAAAGCAAGACCTTTTTCTGTCTTGAGCTTCTGGATATCTATATATATATATGGAATAATACATATATCTTTATATTTAACTTGCCAAGTTATTTATACAACTAATTAAATTTTACATAATGTCAAAAATTAAAATTAACTGGAATGTGCTGTTGAGTAATCATCATAAGTCATTGTCTTTACTATTAATTCTATATCTTTAGTATTAGGTCTTCCCGTACAATTACATATAGCATCTTCATCTATGAATTCATTTGTTGCATGACATGTCTAAATTGTAAAATGGTATATTTTTTTCTTTTAATTAAATAAAATTTTACAAAACATTATGTAATAAATGCACAAATCACCTGTAAAATATTTAATACTCTTCGCATATCACCACATGAAATTTTAATTAATGCATCCATCCCATCTTGAGAAATATTTATGCTATAATAATATAAACTTTAAAATTTTGCCCACCAGAAAGTTTGTAATAAATAGTCTTCTTTTTTTTTTAAATCAATTTTTTGTTACCGTTCTGCCTCAATTATATCATTCAAGTAAGAAATAATTTGGTCTTTGCCTAAAGGAGAAAATCGAAATTTTGTACAACGAGATTGAACTGCAGGAATGATCTTGAGTGGATAGTTGCAAACGATACAGAAACGGACATTTTGTGTATACTTTTCAATAACTATTTAATAAGTTTAATAAATGAATTGATTAGTTTGCAGTATGTATAAAGATATAAAATATCAATAAGTTATTAACTTCTTCTCAATGCATTTTGAGCAGTTTGTGTCATTGCATCAGCTTCATCCAGTATAATCAACTTTACATCTGAACTTAAATATTATTAAGATCGCTATTAATAAATTGCTCACATATATAAAAAATACAATGATACCAATCAAATTATATTGATACCTAAATATATTACGTGTACTTGCAAAATTTTTAATTTGTTCACGAACAACATCTATTCCTCTATCATCAGATGCATTTAACTATAGAAATTTAATTATAACTTAAAACTTGTATGTGTTTACTTTTACAATCATATAAATAATTCAACCTACTTCCATAACCATTGATTTCCATTTATCTCCATATATTTTATTAGCAATTGCAAAAATTGTTGATGTTTTACCAGTTCCAGGTGGACCATAAAATAATAAATGTGGAAGTTGATCTTTATTGATATATGATTCAACTTGAAATAGATAATAAATGATGGATGATATTAGAATTTTTCAATTTTTCCAAAAAAAATTTTTTACACGTCACAATTTTAAAATATATATATGTAAGTGTGTATGCATATAAAAACAACTTGTTGTAATGATATTTTTATGTGAAATAAGCTCATCAAGCGTTTTTGGACGATACTTTTCAACCCTAGACACAAAATTTTTCAGTTATATTTATTATTTAAAAAATTATATATGTATATATATGTATATGTGAGATAAAAAGATACCAGGGTAAATTATCTTCTTCATAAGCCGAATCAATATCCATTTTTTCGTGATTTTTTTGATACATTATTTTTTAGGTGCTTTGTTTATTATATAAAATGGGTCTGAAATGTTAACGATCGAGCGATTTGTCACGCAAAACGATTTACAAGTGTTTTTTCCGATTTTTTTGCCCAACAATATCCGCCCAAATTGACTTCAGGACTTATTCTAGAAAAAAAAATCAGGGCGTCAACCAAATTACCGCATTTGGAATTAATTATCTTGTATTATGAAAATTTTGCAGATGTTTCACGGATCACGAATTAATATTAAGAAGATATCAAGGCAGCATGACTGAAACAATTCGATATGTGACATTTGATTATCAGAAAATTAACAGACGTTGAAGCACATACGCTACCTTAACACTTTACAGTCATTCTCACGTCTTCCTCGTGTACAAAAGGCTAACCTGACTAGCTTGCCCTGAGATACAATGATGCAACAAAATTTTCAGGGGGGTACGTGGCTCTGGAGTTTACCGAGACTGCATCATTGTCAATGACACTTTTGATAATCTTTTCTCACAGCACCCAGACCAGAGAAGGCTGCAATGTTAGCCAAAAGTTTCCTGCAACCATCTTACCTCTAGGGTAAGGATGAATCTGTAACCAAGTAGTCGCAACTCTGGAGGAGAATCTGCAACTCATTTCAAGCACAGGAGGTTGCAATTTAGAGTAGGTTGGTGACCCTGAAATTGCATTTAGGCTCGGATGTTAGGAGGAAAGCTGTAAAATAAAATGGCACAGATTTTTTTTGGTATGTTTTGTATAAATTAATCATTCATAAATTCTCTGTTTCTTTAATTTTTATTTGACCAATTGAATTTGGTACTTTTTAAATGGGAGTAGAGTTGTTTGTGAGTAGGCATGCCACCAACACAAGACAGCAACCCAGGACTCACAACTCGGAATTCAGGGAAAAATCCAAAACAATAACTCAGGTTATAACCTCCCGAGTTGCAGAATTTTGGTCCAATTGCAGACACCAACTTTATTCTAGTGGAACAGCAATCATCACACAAATGCTGATCCTCATCAGTTATCAATGCCTGTATGGTAACAGCCAAGCCTGGTCTGTGGGAAAGACAAGAGAGGTTTTGTCCAAAGCCTTCCAACAGAGGGCAACCTTACCTGTGAAAAAAATCCACAGTTATGAGGCGTGCTTAATTGCACCCAAACTTATGTTTGTGATAGGAAAGTTTTATTAAATCCGACACCTGTTATTATAATTGGATTTATTATTCATAAGGAACTATATAATTAGAATTAAGAAAAAAAATTTTTTTTTTGATCCTCCCCATTTATTCATTTATTTTTTGTGGGTTTGGGGTAGATTCACACATTATTGTTTGAAAAATCGGGGTTCCTTAAAAAATTTCAATTATGCATGGCCTTGGTGTTATTACTACTTGGATGATGCAATTGTTTGTTATGTCAATTATAACATCAAATGTATTGAAGAATAATCATCATGACAATCATGAATATTTGATGGATGGAGGCATTCACATACAAGGAAATGATTAAATAGCTAAGTCATGTTTATTTTTATCTATCACACAAGTGGTAGTCAATTTATTTAAAAGTTTTATTTGAAATGATATTATTTTTAAATGTGTAAAAAAATTTTTTTTAATGTAAATCTTTATTAACATTAATATTTTACTGTTTTAGTATAATTGATGCAAAGCAATAATTTCTTCAGAATAATTTCTTTTTATTCACTTGTTTATCTGTTTTAGAATGATTGTTAAATCTCAAGTCCCAAGATTATAATTTATAGTAATTATAAATAATTTTTCTAAAAATAATTGATCTATGATCAATAAATATTAAGTCATGGAATGATAATCTCAATGACTCATTTTAGAAATAAATAATAACCCACCTTCACCTATCTTTTCAATATTTGTTAAATCATTATAAAGAATCCATTGAAGATGATTATTATAATGATATTTAGTTGGTTTAAGTTGTGTACTTTTAATCAATTCATCTAATGTTTCATTGCCACTAGTCCATCTTTCAGTCAACAGCTTTGGATCACATGATTGACACCATGAATAATCAGTACTATATTTATTGCAAGTTAGACATTCCCCATATTCTTCTTTTCTAATATATGGATCTTCATAATCTTGAAGATCTTTCATGTATTCCATTACAAAGATATATTCTTTTGTAACTGGGATCTTTTGTTAATCCACAAAGTTTATTTATAAATGATTCATTATAAAATGTAACATAATTTCTAAACTATATAAAAAAAAATATATATCAAATTTCAGAAACTCATCAGAAATATTCTGTGAATTATGTAGTTTTTCTAGTGCTACAGTCCTATCTTCACTAGTTCTTTCATCATAATCATTTATATATTTCACACCATTTAACCAAGTAGCTTTGTATATAGTTGCAAAACCACCTTCACCTATCTTTTCAATATTTGTTAAATCATTATAAGGAATCCATTGAAGATAATAAGAACTTTCATATTGAGCTGCTTTAAGTTGTGTACTTTTAATCAATTCATCTAATGTCTTATTACCACTAGTCCATCCTTCAGTTAACAGCTTTGGATCACATGATTGACACCATTCCCAATAAGTATTATATCTATTGCATGTTGGACATTCCCTATATTCTTCATCTCTTTTCTTTGAATATTCATCATTTTTGTCAGTAGAAGTATCATAATGATGTTATTTTCATCCAAAGTGTCTTCCATCATGGTTTTTTATTATATTTATCTAAAAAAATATTTTTTTAAAGAACATTTTTTTCAGCCATAAATATGTATCACACACAAAATATTAATATATTCAGATTTTCTGTTAAAAAATTAAATTTTACCTAAATTACAATTATTCAGCATTACGCAAATAAATTCGGCATGACACCCTAAAGTCATTAAAGCCATAAACCATAAAACTGTAATAAATATTGCAAGCATGTGATCTGAGTTATTGGAGTCACCAAATCTGGCAAACTAAATTAAAATCACTATATACAACTATGTATTATCAAGGATAGCAAAGAAAAACTGAAATGGAATGTAATGTTTAATTATAGTTAGATTGATTTGAAAAAGATATCTATATATATAACAAAAATGGGTTATATTATAAATTCAATTAGTTTTTCAAAGTACCTTGGGTTTAATCCTCAAGATCAATATTTGAGGAAAATGTTATGACATTGAATATAAAGTATCAATTATTAAAATCAAAGAAACAGATGAGTTTATAATCCTGTTTATTGGAATATAAAAAAAATGCCTGTGAATGAAGGATATTGGATAAACAGGTTTCTTTTAAATAAAATTGACGGAAATCAACTTGATTTAATATTAAGTAGTAGAGTCAAAAGATCTGAATATGTGATATATCATAATAGTAAACTATTAATATTTATAAATGTTTGTGGTTTGACACTATTTAACTGTATTAACAATGTACTTTATTATTTTTATTGTTTTTTTATAATTCTTATCAGAATAATTTAATCTTGGAGATAATAATAAGAAAGTTCATTTTTTAGAATATGAAGCTTATATAAATTAGTCCTTCAAAAACTTTATATTAAAAATTATTTTTATTAGAGGCAAGTACAAAAAAAAAATTTCTTTCAAACAAATAAGATATTAATATTAATAATGCATAAATATCAAGTGATGACATGATTCCCACAAACAAAAATGTTTGCTGAATTTGAATATCGAAGCTTTAAATAAATTTATTATAAATATATTGCTTAGATACAAATTTGTACATGTTATTTTAGAATTCTTGCATGATTAATATTTATAATGTACTGTATATAATATATATATATATAATATATTATAATTATTACTCATTTAATACTAATATTGTAATAAACACAAATTATGTCTACTACTTTCCATCATGCAATTTTTTTTTAGAAACAAAAATGCAAAACTGAAGAGATAAAGTAAAAGTTTGATATAATGATTAACCTAAGTGCACCAAAATTTCTCATTAATAATCAAAAAAAAAAAAGAGATTTCACTTTACCTCTTCAAAGAGGATATAACCTCCATGATTCGTATCAATTTTATCAAATTCTGCCTTAAGCTCTTCATCGGAATTCGCATTTATCCCAACAAGCTCATGTCCTTTCTTGAACTCTGCATAACTGATACGTTTGTCTTTGTTTTTGTCAAGTTTCTGAAACTGCTTGTATAGATCATCATAGTAATAAAGAAGATCGAGGAGATTGCCAAATTCACTCAAGTCAACGAAACCATCCTGATAGGAGATTTAATGTGCTAGAGATGTAAAAACTTTCCAATATGTAAATTGAAAGGCGTTTTACATAACACAAACAAACCTTTGAAACGTCAGTAGCTTTGTAAGCTCGCATAATGGCAGGCTTATCTTTTGCAAAATGCGGGTAGAGTTCAATTACAGCTTTATCAATTTCAGCAAGTGATAGGATGCCATTTCCATTATAGTCAAACTTGTTAAAAATCTACAACAACAATTGAAACCAGTATATTCATGTTCATATTCATATGAAATATATAGATTTGTGTTTCAAAGACAAAAAATGTTAATTACCTTCTTAACCTGGGTTTTATCTAGTTTTTCTGCCATGATTATTTTATCAGAGAATAAATTCTGCATCAATTTTATTGGCCAATCTTGTGTAAAATTATGCTGTAACACTTTTTATTTTATTATTATTATTAAAAGGTTTAAAATACGACAAAAATATATTATTCTAAATTTCTAAATAAATTTTCTGTGAGATGTACAAATAATATTTTTTATCAGGCCAGGTCCTATGTAATCGCTGGCAGAAATAAACAAACTTATTTTTGCAACTTTATATTATAAATCATGTGATACAATCAGTTTATAAAGAATATATTTAAATTAATTTTATTTCTGCCAGTAATATGTCAGACTTACCTGATAACAAGAACAAAATGTGCATACAATTGGTTATTTTATTCTAATTGAAACATATCATTCTTATCATCCATCCTTCAATTGCCTCCTTCCATCGTTTTTCAATTAATTTATTAGAACGAGATCAATGCCCATTTAAACTTTTAAATTGCTCAATAAGTCTTTCTAATTCAGTAATATGTGTCTTCCAGAAATCTTTGAGATAATTTAAAATTGGAATTATTGAGAAAATGTTAATTTGTAAACTTTTTTGATTTATCAATCACTTGTTCCTGTCTCATATTTAAAGTTTCCCGTAATTCGGAAGCTTTATTTTTTCAGCAGCAGTTTTCATTAATCCTACCCCTCCTGCTCCTATTACTAGTACTGTTCCTGTTTCTGCTGCTACTTCTGCTGCTACTGCTGCTTCTGCTGCTTTTGCTATTGCTGTTCCTGCAGCAGGCATGGCGATTGTTAGGCAAATTCCACTTATAATGAAAGCAGTTGTTGACATTACATTTAAAACTATGTTTTAGATTCAGCATCTTTCAAGTTGTGATATCAATATTTTCACTATTAAATTCCGTTAATTCATTCATTATAAATCTTTGTCATCCTTGAGAGTTTAATTTTGGGGTTGGTTTCCTCTATTGCAGTTTTATTAGTTTTATTAGTTCTAGCACGTTTTAAAAGTTTACTCAAATAAACTAATATTTCATTGTTAGAAACAACCTCATCATTATTATATATCTCAGATTGTTCAACTGTGTCATCAACAATTGAACGGGATTCCTGTTTAGAATTTTTAACCAACTCAAATTTTGTTTTCAAAAGTCACATCACAAGCATTTCTAAATAATCGGAATACCCTTTAGTCGCGACTGATAAATTTTTTATGTTAAAAAGATCTGGAAATTTGTATATCAGTTTTTTTATTAAAGGGACTTTTTTGGTTCTTTTTATAAAGGAAAAACAATTAATTGATGGGAATTTCGTTTTTAAGAAATACCATTAACAAAAAGTTGATCAATTTTGGAAAAAAATCATTAAAGATGATGATAGCGGTGATTATAAAGAAACTCACTGCACAGATGATGTGAGAACAACTCATGCTCATCTTCATTTATTGAATAAAAATATTATTTTGAAGATACTTTACAGGAAATATTTGAAATTTAGAGCTTTGTAAAATATATATATATAAATTAAAAAAACTATTAAGTTAAATAGTTATCTGGCAAGATAGAAACAATGGAGTGATATTTATGGTGATGCTGGAGTAGGAGATTCTCTTATTCCTATAGGGTTTTGAATCATGCGGGTATGAGTTGGATATAGGTTCAATTATTGTTATCCATGCAGACCTCTAGTGAAATTCGAATTGTACCCTGGTTCGATTTGATTTGATTTGATTCAAACTGATTTGAATCTATAGCAATCATTCATTATCATTCATTAGTTATATTTATTATTTAGATTTAATGAATTTGTGCAATTGTAAATTTTATTGTTATCGCGTTAGTTATCATTATTGTTATCAATAACAATAATATTAATGATGGTGGCCAAAACTATCTTAGTGGGCCGAAATTGCCGAAATTAATTGGCCTACTACTAATAATTTTAATGGCAAAATTATTTTTATTATATGTATTGAGCGAAACTACCTTTTTTTCAAAAATAGTTTCGGCCAACATCACTAAATAATATCCTTTATCAATTAAAAAAGTTTAAAATAATACACAATCTTGGTTTAGCAGATAGAAAATTTTCCAAAAATCACCAGTCAAACCAATTATATTATCATCCAATAACAATTTAACAACGCAACAATAAATTTTTTTTTTTCCTCCCAACGTGAGTTTTTTTTAAACAAAATGATAAAAAAACGGTTTTTATTTGTTTTTGCTTTTTTCACATTATGGATACTTGATTCATTATCAACAATTGAAGCTGTTGCTGTCATTGGTATTGATTACGGAACTGATTGGTTTAAAGTTTCATTAGTAAAACCGGGAGTTCCACTCGATATTGTATTAAACAGAGATTCTAAAAGAAAAACACAGTCGGTTATAACAATTCGCGGCGAAAAAAGATTATATGGCACTGATGCTGCTAATATTGTGAGCATAGATCGTTTATTAAGCAACTATATTTTCAACAACATCAAATAAATATTTCAAAATAAACATTTTCCGACTTTTATTAATGTCAGTCAAATCAATAATTTATATAGGGGACAAGATTTCCGAGTAATACTTACTTTAGTCTTAAAAGGCTTCTTGGAAGATTAGCAGATGATAAGTATGTACAAGAATATCAATCACACTTTTTTAATAAAATAATAAAAGATCCGATAAGAGGAACTGTTTTATTTCAACATAATGAAACAACAACATTTTCAGTTGAGGAATTGGTTGCAATGCAATTATCTTATGCTAAAGAGCAAGCTAAAGTCACTGCACAAGAAGAAGTTAAAGATAGCATTATTACTGTAAGTTACCATAATTTTTTTTATTTATAATCTTTAATTGTAAAATAAAAATCTTTATTTAATAATGTATATCACATTAAACCAAGGTCCCACCATATTATAATCAATTTGAAAGACAAGCCATTTTGGATGCTGCTGAAATTGCTGGATTACATGTACTATTCTTGATTAATGATCAGACAGCTGGTTAGTCTATTGATCAAAATTACTACAGGTCTTTTCTTATAACCTTTCAAAATTGTCATTATTGATGAGTTTAATATATTAGTTGGAATAAACTATGCCATAACACATTTTTCTTCTATTACTGAGGAACCACAAATCCATTTATTCTATGATATGGGTGCCGGAAGCACTAAAGCTAGTGTGATCAAATTTAATATTGTAAATAACAAGGATGTGGGTCGCTTCAACAAGGCTTTGGTTAATTTAGAAGTTTTATCAATTGGATACAATAAAACTCTTGGAGGACAAGAATTTGATTTTCGGCTTCAGAAACATTTTGCAACAAAATTTGATGATTTACACAGTGGTAGGCTGAAAGAATCAATTTTTAAGTCTGGTCGTGCTATGACAAAATTATTTAAAGAGGCAAATAGGGTAAAACAAATTCTTAGTGCCAACACAGAAACAATAGCTTCAGTAAGTTTTTTTTAATGCTGATAAAATTATAAATAGTAGTAGCAATAATAATAATTATAGTAATATAATAATTATAAATAATAGTTATTTGTCTAAATAAATTTAATACAAATTACAAAGATAGAAAATTTACATGAAGAAAAAGATTTTAGAATTACAATTTCAAGAAAAGAATTTGAAGCTATTACAGATGATTTGATCAAGTATGTTGAAGCTCCTTATATCACAGCATTGAATAAGGCTAATTTGACATTGGTATTTATCCTGATTATTATTATTTTGATTATTATTTTGATTATTATATATACTTAATTATATACTTTTATATAATTTGTCATAGCCTGATATAAAATCTTGTGTGTTAGTTGGTGGTGGTATCCGTGTACCAGCTGTTCAAAATATGCTTAAAAAGCTTGTTGGAGAGTAAGTATTAAATATTTTAGTTCCTTTTCCTTAAAAATAATCAATTAAAATATATAGTTTTTATATTCCTTATCAGAAACAAAATTGCACAAAATATTAATGGAGATGAAGCGGCTGTTTTAGGTATGCAAAATAATTTTTTATATGTTTTATTTATTTATATGTGCATGTATTTATTTATTGCCATATTTTATAGGTGCTGGTTTTAGAGGTGCTGGATTGATTCATCAGTTTAAAGTTAAAGAAATAAACGTCACAGACATTAATGAAGATGGTAAAAATGTTGATGTTGATAATGTTGATGATGTTGATGTTAAGCCTTTAGGAGAAAAAGAGAAGCTTAATTCAATTCAACGGTATACCTATATATTCTCCATAAGCCAATCAAATATCTAATTTTATAAACAAATAGTGACAATTATAATAAAATATTATCTAGATTAACTGCCATGGAAAAGGCTGATCATGAACGTCATGCTTGTGAAGAAGCAAAGAATCATTTGGAGTCTTATGTTTACAAATCACAAAAGTTTCTTGATGATCCAATTGTTAAAAAAGTTAGCACTGATGGGCAACGTTCAGAACTATTAAAAAGGTTATCTGAAACATCGGAATGGCTGTATGGAGAAGGTGAAAATGCATCAATTGATGAATTTCATTCACGTCTTGACAGTTTAAGGTAAACAATTATTAATTTAGATGACAGATATTATATATGAACAAAATTTTAATTTTTAACAAAAAATAAAAAATGTTATTATTTAGATTATTAGAGAAACCATTCTTATTTAGAAAAGGAGAGTTTATTAAACGTCCTGGTGCAATTTCTTCACTTAAATCACTTATTGACAAAAGATGTGGATTTGTACGACAAAGAAGAGCTAACTTAATTCCTAAAATAACGCATTATACTGATGAAAATATTGATAAGCTATTAAATGTTTGTGATAAAGTTGAAAATTGGCTTAATGAAAAGTTGGCAGAGCAAGAAAAAACTGCCCCCCACATTGATCCTGTTTTCACTACAGATGATGTACAAAAGAAAGCAAAAGAAATTAACCGTGAATTTTCAAATTTGGTGAAAAAATCATCAACAGTAAAAAGCTCTACAACTACCATTGCCACCACAACAATAATCAATGCCACTGATGAAAGTACAGAATATGCCAAGACATACAATACAACAACTGATTCAATAACTCAGGAGACTTCAAATGTTACAATATCATCTGACACTGAAACAACAACAGGAGCCATTGAACCCAAGACAACTGAAATATTGCATGTTGAATTATAATAAATAAATTTGAAGCCCACATTTTTTTTAAAAGAACAATTCTGTACTATTTATTACCTAACCGCACATTTAATTGATGATTAGTCTATGAATCAGAGAAATAAATGCTGATCAATTTTGAAAAACATAAAAACACTTCTTAATAAATTAAAATTTTAATGATTTTTATCATAAACAAATAATAGCATTCATGAAGTTTTATATATCTAATTTATTTTTTTTTATTGATATGCATTTTGAATTTTAAATTCTAATACAAAAAAAACTTCTATATAATGAAAAAATAATAATTACCCTCCAGGAATAAAGTCTTTTATTTATAAATAAGTTACATGTGACAAAAATCGGAAACAACCCATCATTTCTATTTAAAAGAGAAATTGAAATTTTTCTTAAAAGAAAGGTCTAGATTATTTTTAAGGAATCTTAAATTAGAACAAGAGACTATACCGCCAAGAGTTCCTGGAATAAGGGAAGACCTAGATAGAGAATTGTTTAATGAATTTGTATTTAAATTAATTCTGAAATGAAAAATAATAAATGATAGATAGTTTCGAAAGTAAAGCATAAATACATATTCGCGGAAATTATTATTATACTTTAGCATACCCTTTAGCATGAATTATTATCATCATCATCATCCTTCAAGACTTGAATAATACAAGGCAAAAACATTTTTTTGTTTATAATTGAGTCTATCAAAGAATCTCCAAATCCCAAACTACTTTGTACACCCATAGCATTCTGTCTCCCAACCAATAAGAGCATAGTGGACATTTGATTTCATTGGCTAAATTTTGTGACGATCTCCTTTCCAGATATCACTCAAAAATTAAATTTTATTGGCTTGAAGATCATTATGCAAATTTGAAAAACAAAATATTAATATTAATAGTTGAACAATTTGTCACATTAAATGATTGGGAAGTGTATTTTCCGAAATTTTTTGGTGATCAACGTCGAAATTCTATTAATTCGTGATCCTTTTAAGAAGGAATGTAACACAACATTTGTTAATAATAATACCCATAATCTCAGCACATTTCT